CTCCCGACGTTCTGTGTTACCCTCCCTACGTTCCGTTTTACCCTCCTGACGTCCCGTTTGATTCTCCCGACGTTTCGTTTCACTCTCATTACGTACCGTTTTATCCTTCCTCCCTCCCCACGTCCCGTTTTACCCGCCCGACGTCCCGTCTTACCCTCCTGACGTCCCGCTTGACCCCCCGACGTCCCGTTTTACCCTCCCGACGTCCTGTTTTACCCTCTCGACGTCCAACTTTACCCTCCCTGCGTACCGTTTTACCCCCTCCCTATGCGCCGTTTTACCCTCCCGACGTCAAAATTTACCCTTCCTCACCCTCCCTACGTCCCGTTTTACCCTCCCGACGTCCCGTTTTATCCTCCCGACGTCCAATGTGACCCTCCTGCGTCCCGTTGTACCATCCTGGCGTCCCGCTTAACCCTCCCTACGTCCCATTGTACCCTCACTACGCCCCGTTTTACCCTTCCTTACCCTCCTTACGTCACTTTTTACCCTCCCTACTTCCGTTCTGCCCTTCCTTACTCTCCCCACGTCCCGTTTGACCCTCCCTACGACCCGTTTTACCATCCCTACGTCCCGGTTTACCCTCCCTACGTCCCCTGTTACCCTCCCGACGTCCCAATGTACCCTCCCGACGTCTCGTTTTACACTCCCTGCGTCACGGTTTACCCTCCCTGCGTCCCGTGTTACCCTCCCTACGTTCCGTTTGACCCTCCCTGCGTCCCGTTTTACCCTCCCGACGTCCCGTTTTACCCTCCCGACGTCCAAATTGACCCTCCGAACGTCCCGTGTTATCCTCGCGACGTCCACTTTTACCCTGCCTGCGTCCAGTTTCACCTCCCTACGTCCCGTTTGCCCCTTCCTTACCCTGGCGACGTCCCGTTTTACCCTCCCGACGTCTTGTTTTACCCTCCCTGCCTCCCGTTTTACCCTCCCGACGTCCCGTTCGACCCTTCCTTACCATCCCGACGTCCCGTGTTACCCTCCCGACGTCCCGTTTACCCTCCCGACGTCCCGTTGACCCTCGCGACGTCCCGTTGACCCTCCCTACGTTCTGCTTTACCCCCCTTGACGTCCCGTTTTACCCTCCCTGCGTCACGTTTTACCCTTCCTACGCCCCTTGTTATCTTCCTTACCCTCCCTGCCCTCCGTCCCGTTATACCCTTCCTTGTCTTCCCTACGTCCCGTTTTAACTTCCCGATGTGCCGTTTTACCCTCTCGACGTCCCAATTTACCATGCGGACGTCCCGTTTTACCCTCCCTACATCACGTTGTACTCTCCCGACGTTCCGTTTTACCCTCCCTGCGTCCCGTTTTAACCTCCCTACGTCCCATTTTACCCTTCCTTACCCTCCCGACTTCCCGTTTTACCCTCCCTGCGTCCCGTTTTACCTTCCCGACGTCCCGTGTTACCCTCCCTGCGCTCTGTTTTACCTTCCCTACGTCCCATTTTACTCATCCTCACCCTCCCTGCGTCCCGTTTTACTCTCCCGACGTCCCATTTCACCCTCCCGACGTCCCGTTTTACTCTCAAGACATCCCGTTTTACCCTCACGGCGTCCCGCTTTACCCCCCCGACGTCCCGTTTGACCCTCCCTGCGTCCCGTTTTACCCTCCCGACGTCCCGTTTTACCCTTCCTTGCACTCCCTACGTCCTGTTGTGCCCTCCCGACGTCCCGTTTTACCATCCCGACGTCCAATTGTACCCTTCCTACGCGCCGTTTTACCCTCCGGTACGTATGGTAAAGCCGAACGTAGGGGAGGTAAAACGGTACGTAGGAAGGGTGAAAAATGGAACGTATGAAGGGCAAAGCGGGACGTAGGGCCGGAGGGTAAAAAAGGACGTAAGGAGGGTAAAGCGGAACGTAGGGAGGGTAAAACGGAACGCAGGGAGGGCAGAACAAAACGTAGGGTGGGTAAAACGAGACGGAGGGAAGGTACAACGGGACGGAGGAGGGTGAAACGCGGAAGGAGGTAACGCGGGACGGAGGGAGGGTAAAACGGAACGGGAGGAAGGCTAACACGAGGGAACGACAGCAAAACGAAACGCCAGACAGGGAACAACGAACGATGAAATGATAAGGCGAAACATAGCGAGATGAAACGAAAGGGAGGGAAGGTAACCCGAAAGGGAACGAAGGTAAAACAAAAGGGAAGGAAGGTAAAACGAATAGGGGAATGGCAGCACGGAAGAACAGAACAACCAACAAAACAAACACACGCTGAACGCACCTTCAAAAACAGCACGCCGGAAAGAACTACCCCGAGTCGCAACAAAACAAACCACAACACCGGCTGCAGTGAAATATCCAAACACAGCAAAAACAAAATACGATGCGTCGCAGGCGCCGAAACAGAACATACAACAGAACGCATCGCTCCGACCTCCGACGGGCGTCGTTCTCCAGATTCGTTTAAACCAAAAACAAGCCACGTTTAGAACAAACAACAACACAACAAAACAACACACTCCAAACACACAGCATAACAACGCATCGGTCGCGCCCTGCAAGGCCCCCGACCGTGAATCCGCACCTTCCTGTGCAGGTCGGGGCTATCGGGCCCCTGTCGGCGATCAATGGGCGATTCGGGGTCGATGCATCCCCCCGTATGCCTATCCCCCCTATCGATTCCCCCGTTCCCCCCCATGAGCTGAACCAGAATTCCCGACCGTACAGCGCTCTCCGCTCTCGTCGGATCTCAGGGGCCAGGTCGCTGTTCGATGAGCCCACCGGGTGCCTCCCCCCCCCAAGGCATGCCGTTCCACGACCCGCGCGCGTGCCGAAGCCATCCACGCGGTCCACCCCCCCAACGGGGGCACGCGAAGGACAGCCCATTCCTGCCCGCCCATGCGACTTGAGGGGCCTCCTGGGTGGGGTCCGGGTAGGTGGGGTCGGAGGGTTGCACCAGATCGCCGATGTATCGCCGATGCAGCGGCGATGGATCGGCGACGTCGGCGATGCATCGGCGACGTCGGCGTGGGGAAACTCGGGCTCCACATCGAGTCGCATCGCCGATGCATCGGCGATGCGGAGCGATCCTTCGACCCCATCTACTTGGACCCCATCTAGGAGACCTAGAAATTTACCTGGAGATCCTCGGATGCGGCCGGAGGCCACACCTGAACAGGCCCAGAAAAGGGCAGGCAACACGTCTCAGCACAACGATCGTGGATTGTCCTGACCCCTCGCGCGATCCTCCCTCCTTTTGCGTCTCCCCCCCAACTCCGAGGTCAACCCAAGTGGCTGTGCGCCCAATTTTGGCACGTCGGCCAGCGCTACAACACTGATGGGCTCGCACGATCTCTATCCGATGTACTCGTCTTCTCGGGGGCGTCCGAGAGGGAGGCGTCCAAGAGGGGGGGCTGCACGTCATGCCCCGAGGCACGTGCGCGGCCCACGGGTGGCAAAAGACGCATTGAAAGAAGAGGGGGCCCTGGAATCCTGGGAGATGGTCCTGGCCATGATATTCACCCTTCCCCCTACTCTGGGTGGGGCAATCATCGCCCCCCCCTTGGAACTGCTGGGGGGGTTGGGCACGTGCTGGAGGGGGGGTTGGAGGAGGAGGAGGGGGGGGGAGTGGGAGTGGGAGTGGGAGGAGGAGGAGGAGGAGGAGGAGGAGGAGGAGGAGGAGGAGGAGGAGGAGGAGGAGGAGGAGGAGGGGGGCGATGGTCAAGCTCCGTCGGAAGGCTAGTCGCCCACCCCGAGTAATACTCCACCCTGAGTAGTCACTACCCCCTCTTGGCCGCCCGCGACATCCCCACCTTCGGCTAGACGTAAGGGTGACCCTGGGTAAGGGTGACCCTTGGTGCGCAGCTTTGGGGGGCGCGAGGGGGCCAAACCCAAGGGCGCGGACCGCTTATATCGCATCGCGCTCGGCGATCGGGGGGAGCCCGATGAGCCCGCACCAAACGTCACCCCGACGAAGGGCCACTCCTACGCGTAGTCGACACCTTCTTGTGAGGCCCCCACCCCCCACCGCTGACGCGACCACCCGGGCCGAGCCCAGGCAGAGCCCCGGGGCAGAGCGCCGCCTCTCCCTGCAGGGCCACCCCGACGGCACCGACGGCGATGGACGGCGGCGCCGACAATACGACGACGACCACGCCGCCGCCGACGACAAGACGACGACGACGACGACGACGACGACGACGAAACGACGAAACGACGACGCCGCCGCCGACGACAAAACGACGACGACGACGACGACGACGATGGAAAAACAGCGACGACGAAGACGACGATGACACCGAACACTGTGAGAAGACGACGACGACGACGACGACGACGACGACGACGACGACGACGACGACGACGACGACGACGGTGAAACGACGACGACGACGGAAGATCATGCGGCGAGGACGGCGTTGAAGGCAGCGGGAGACGACGGACGACGGATGGCGACGACCGCGATGGGCGACGGCGCGATCGAGGCGTACGCCGAGGCCGGGGCAGCTTGGCGCGGAGTCGACACCTGTTCTGGTCCACCACCGTGACGTGGACGGAGTGGGGCCATGGCTACCCATATAAAGCCAACTCACTCATTCCAGGGTTAAGACTAGCCTTAGAGTTATCCCCACACCCAATCATTCCACTCTCCCCCAGCCCCACCAGCTAGGGACCTCAGGGAAACAACTTGGCCACAAGTCGCCCAACACAGTAGCCTCCCCAGCCCCTCGAGCAAGGGCACCCGCCAGGACTTCCGGGTAGGGCCCCATAGAGAAGCCGTAGCAGAGGGATCCTCTCCTAGTCTCCCTAGCACCCACTAATGTCCCCTCACAGGTACCTCCTACAGACCGCTAGCCAAGTCAGATCCTTCCCCCCCAGGATGGGACGGGAACAAAGGGACCCACAAAGAGTAAGGGACGCCACTCCTAGCAAGCTTATTCCCTCTAGAACCACAGGCCCTTACGGGTGCTACCTCCCCCCTTTGTCCTTCAACTACCCAGTGACAGATTACACAGGGCAACTCCTAGGCTACGCCCAGGGGAAAGTCGGACACTAGCCCCCGAGGAGCTCGCTCGCGTGCGGCTCGTACCTCTCAGCGAAGGCAGAACCGATACAAACCCGACATTTCTGGGAATCGGCGGGTCTGCAAGATAGATCGCGCGCCGCGGCCGTTCCAGAGCGTTCCGGAACACTCCGAGGGCGTCTCGAAGCGCTCTGGAAGGGAATCGTCTCGATCCCCAGGGCCCGTCGGAGCCTCGCCGCCAGGAATCTGTTCGACGCCGCAAACTCTCACGGGTGGTTACCACCCACGTCGAGGATGGGTTTCCGAAGTGCACGAGCCAGTCGGCGGCGCCAGCAGTGCACGTGGCATGAGGGGAGGGGCGAGGAGAGGGAGGGGAGGGAAGGTATAAGACCAATGCGTTGTGCGTACCTCCTGCCAGGATACAGACCTCTGTGGCACACGACGTATGTACGACGAAGGTGGCCATCAAGAACGGATCCAGGACAACACATAGCCTCATGCGGAAGGACGGATCCAGGATCAGGTCGGGCATGTCCTCCTACAGGCGGATGTTGGTTAACAAAACAGTAAAAAAAATCAACACACATTAAAACCTGCCAAAAAAAGATCAGAAGATCGTCCCCGCACTCTGTTCTGACTGTTGTTGAATATTCCTCCTGTGGAGGGACAGGCCCGCCGTAAATCCAGGAGAAACAAGTACCCCATGTGGAAGCCCTCCAGAGGCCCGCGGACTGGCAGCATCGTCCCGAGGGATGCCTACAGGCCGAGGCCTCTGCACGTGCTGTTAGCCCTTCGAAGGGCTCCCCGGGCCACTGGGGATCTCTTCGAATCTCCTGAGTGGCGGCTCGGGGGGTTGGCGGTTGAGATGGCGCGCACCAACAATCTTCAGGCGATCGCAAGCACGGATCAAAAGGGGCGTGGATTAGCGACGGGCCCCGCTTCCGTGGGAAATCGCGGTTTTCCGCCGCCGAGCGAGGCGGCACCGGCCGCATCTTGGGGAGGGCACCTCCCCCGATCCATGGATCTGGCGACGGCGCGCCAAATCCATGGATCGCTAATCCATGTTTGCGCGCCCCCGAAATTCGGGCCAGGCAAAAAGGGGGGATAGCAAAGGGGGGGGTGAGAATCAGCTCACGTAGCTGATGTTCCCGGCGCCTCCCGGCGCCGGAGGCGCCCATGTATCGAGGAATGGGCCGGGCAGCGGGGCCGAAACCAGCTGCATGCAGCAGCTTCCGTAACCCTCCCTTTCTCAATGCCCCCCTTTCGTCCAGCCCGAGAAATTGGAAATTGACCCGACATTCCTCACCACCATTTCTGCAATCCCACATGGTGGTCAGCGGGGCGGGGTTCCTGCGCGGACCGTCTGAGAAGCGGGAGGGGGACCAAAGCCATGTCTACTGCGCACTCGCGCCTCGGCCAGCGCGGGTACAGCTTGTAACTGCGCAGGCGAACAAGGATCATCACTGCACTCACCACGAAATCGTTTGGGGCATGTAGGAACCTCCGATGACCTCGCCTCCAAGCGCCGCCAGGGAATAGCACGACGGGCGTTCCCGCCCCGTTCCTGGGTCGACCAATGTGGGGCTCAAGGAGAGTGCATCACAAGAAACGGGGTCGCCGAGAGTCGCCAGGGGGGAGAAGAGGGATGAAGGGAGGACGAGGAAGATGAGGTGCAGGCGCCAGGAGGTTGATGACGAGGGGTCTTCCTCCTCACCCTTCTCCTCCTCCTTCTCATTCACGTTCTCCTCCACCTCCTTCTCCTCCTCCTTCTCCTCCACATTCTCCTCCACCTCCTCCTCCTTCTCCTTCTCCTCCTCCTCCTCCTCCTGTTCCTCTTCCGTCTCTCGATGAATCGCTAGGATGTCGAGGACGCTCATGGGGGAGGGCGAGCGGTTGGAGGAGGGCGAGCAGCAGGAGGGAGATGGAAATCCCTACAGCGAGGACCAGGACTGGGGTCTTGACGTCCCTGGCTGCACTCGCTCACACTCCCCTCCAGCATAATCTGTTGCATGCCAGACCAGCGCAGCGTCGCGCTTGCTCCAAACTCTGCGTACAGAGCATGATCCAGCCAAGAAGCCCCGACTTTTAGCACGAGTGTAGATGGTTTGGAAAGTAGCGTTGGGACCACGGTGAGACGAGACGCACTACTGCTAGGCGGCACTGCATACTGTTCCAAGTGCCGTCCTGCGTCCTCGTAATTGACCCCGCGGCCTACGCTCGCTTCAAGCTCAGCCCGTTCCCCGTTCCATCCCCTCCCGTTGCCGGCGCGCACAAGAGGGTGGCGCAAGGGGGCGGCATTGTGAGAAGGCCTTCCCCCCCCCCCCGCGCCCTCCACTTCTGCGCGCGCCGCCCAGAGCCCAATCCCTCCCCGCCCCATCCTTTCCCCCCCCTTTCCCTCCCATCTCCCCCACGTATCTCCCCTCCCCCTCCTCCCTTTCCGTGCGCGCCGCCAGTGCCCAGTCCCTCCCCGCACCCCGCCCATCCATCCCCGCCCCCTTCCCTTGCATCCCCCCCCCCCGTCTCTCCCCTCCCCCTCTCCCCTCCCTACTCCCCTCCCTCCGTCCGCTCCTGCCCCCGCCGCCCCGGTCACCCTCCCCGCCTCTTCCCCCCGCTCCCCTCTCGCTTTGCCCCTCCCCTCGCTCTCCTGCGCCGCGTGTTGCCCTCCGCACCTGCCCTTCCCTCCCTCCCTCCCGCGCAGCCGCCGCCCCGGCTCGAGTGACCCGCGAACCTCTCTCGGGGCAGCTGCCATGCGCGCCGGCCCGCGCCCGTGAGGCGAGCGGGTCCGGCCGCGACACGAGAGATGTTCCCCAAGGCGGCCGCGCGGCCGGCCCAGAGGCCCCTGGCGGCGGCGCTCTGCCGCCTGGGCTGGGCCGCGCGGCGCCGCCGGCCCATCCGAGGCGCGGACGTCGCCCTCCTGGCGCGCAGGGTCGCGCAGGTGCTGGACGAGAGGATCGTCGTGAAAAAGTCCGTGGAGGACCTGGGCAACGCCGACCTGAAGGGAGAGACGATGCTGTTCCGATGCGACCTCAACGTGCCCCTGTATGCGGACCAGGAGATCCCGGACGAGAAGCACATCACGGCCTCGATCCCGACGGGCATCAAGTACGCCCTGGAGTGCAAGGCCAACGACGAGGTGAGGGGGGAGACCAAGTTTGACCCCAAGCTGGCAGAGTGCCTGGCCAGCCTGACGGGCCTGTTCGGGAACGACACGTTCGGCACCACCCACCGGGCCCACTCCTCCCCCAAGGACGTGACCGAGCTCCTGGAGACGAGCGTCACGGGCCTCCCGCTGAAGGAGGAGCTGGACAACCTGGAGGGCGCCGTGGTCACCCTGAATGCGGACCGGGAGATCACGGACGAAAAGCGCATCACGGCCTCGATCCTGACGACCAAGGGCGCCAAGGTGCTGGAGTACTTCCAACTAGGCCAACCCGTGGACGGGCCCGAGGACAAGCTTTCACTGAAACCAGCGGCGAAGAAGCTGGGAGAGCTGCTGAAGAAGGACGCCAAGTGCGCCCTGGACTGCAAGGCCCACGGCAAGGTGAAGGGGGAGACCAAGATCGGCTTCGAGCTGGCAGACAGACTGGCCAGCATGACGGACCCGTTCGCGAACGGCACGTTCGGCACCGCGCGCCGAGCCAGCCTGAACTACCCGAAGGGACTACCTCAGGTGGAGCTGGACTACCTGAAGGGCGCCGTGGACAGCCCAGTGAAGCCGAGCAGGTTGGAGGAGGACTATGTCTCCCAGGATGACGCGCTACTGGACGCCGTAATTGAAGGGGCCCTGGGACACACAAATTCGCCGGCCCAACGGGCCAGAGGCGTGCTAAGATCTCCGGTAACTGGTTAACAATTCTCTAGTTCGCGCGCGCGGGGCGGCCCCTGGGGGTCCACGGACGAAAAGTACCCCGGCAAGGTCCTGAGAGAGTCCCGGGAGGAGTCCCCCCGAGCGCTCCAGGAGCGCTCCATGAGCGCACCAAAAGGGCTCCGAGACGTCCCCGAGAGCCCCAAGAAAGGCCAAGAGGCCCCCAAGAGGCCCCCAAGATGGTACACGAGGGGTCCGACCTGCCACAAGATCGCTCCAAGACGCCCAAGATAGCCCCCAGACGCCCCAAGAGGCCTCCAAGAGCACTCCCAAGAGGGCCCCCGGAGGCAAAATTCATTGTTTTTCCTTAGGTTTTTGAGAGATTTGGGAACTTCCACCTTTTCGGTTCCCGACGCCCCAAGACGGCCCCAGAGGCCCCCAAGATCGCCCCAAGAGGGCCCAAGAGGCCCCCAAGAGGGCCCCAAGATGGCCCAAGAGGGCTCGAAGACGGCCCAAGAAGCCTCCAAGACGGTCCAAGAGGGCCCCAAGAACACCCCCAGAGGGGCCCCAGAGAGGGAACACGAAACAAAATTTCGAGCCCTCGGCCCAAGAAGCCCCTACGAGGCCCCAAGAGGCCCCTAAGAGGCCCCAAAGGCCCCCACGAGGCCCTCAGGAGGCCCCCAAGAGTCCCCCAAGCGGCCCCAGGAGGCCCCCAAAATGCCCCCCCGAGCGCCCCAGGAGTCCCCCAAGCGGCCCCAGGAACCCCCAAAGCGCCGCATTGACACCAGGCCCTCGGGCAAACGGCAGACATGAGACCGTATGGGCCGGCGGAATGAGCGAAGCGATTAAATAAATACACACGAATAACAGGATTCCCCCATATTTTCCTATATATTTTTCTGGGTTCTTGTCTTCCCCCCACTTCCCATATTTTCCCAGATTGTCCTGGGAGTCGACGATTCATTGTGTCTGTGCTTGTTTTTTTTTGCCTCCTGAGTAATGTCGCCCCTCAGCTGTGTCGACTCGGTGTTGGGGGAGGGGCGCGCGCCGGCCGCCCGCCTCACACCGGCCTCGCCCCGTGCCGCGCCCCTCCCAGACTGGGCGCACGGCGTCTGGGCCCGCACGGGGCCAGACCGCCCATGGCACTCTCGCCTCTCAGTGCCGCGCTGCACCCTCTGCGGGGGGGGCTGTCGGGCCTCGGAGGGCGGCGTCTGGGCCCGAAGGAGGCCAGACCGCACGTGCGATTCGTGTCTGCCCCCTGCGGGGAGGCTGCACAGCCTCGGAGGGCCCTCTGCCGGTGGGCCCCTTCACGAGTCGAGGGGGCCCCCCTCGGCGAGAGACTTCTGTGGGCCCCTTCGAGGAGGGAGGAGGCCCGCGACCGCCGTGCAGGCAAAGCACGTCGGAAGGACCCTCGGCATGCGCAACTGTGCTCAAGCCCGTGCCCACCACCACCCTCCCGCGCCCGCCTCCCCCCAATCGCGCCTCCCCCTTCACGCCGGGTGCCGCCGTCAACTCCGTCGGCTTCGATGCATGTGACAGGAGCGAGGATGCACACGAACTGTGAGAGCGCGCCAGTGTAAGGCTGCGGCCTCGGCGCAAAAGTCAGTGCAAAGCAGGAAGAAGCAAGGCGCGTGTAGAACAAAGCGGTTGCAAAGCTCAGCGTCTGAAGGGCACTTCTGGGCCCCAGGACCTTGATATAACACTACTCAGGATCAACAATTCCCTGAGGATCTCCAGTCAGGAACTCTTGCTTACAACGTGTCGTGGCTGCGGCCCAAAGACACGCTATACAGTGCGGGCGCAATCGCAGGAACCCCTCGCAAGAAACCCAACCCTGAGAACCCGTGCGCGAGGTGCACCCGAGGGGAAACCCGGAGCACCCTGAACGCAGCAGCTCATTCAACGGCTGCGGGAAGTCACCGCTCAGCGCGAGGAGCGAAGAAACCCAGGATACCCTGACGAAAAGCATATGGTTCCTTGATGCGCGCTCCCACTGCAACAGCGTATCGATCCGCTCCGCGGGGCGGAAGGGTGGGGAAAGCTCGAAATGCTGATGCTCGGGAACGGGGACGTGGGCGGCTTGTCGCGCCGAGGAGCGATGTGGGTCCCCGTGGACAGCGAGCTCCTCCACTCGAGGCGAGGCCTCGTCACAAAGCGAAAGAGTCTGCGATGCGAGGAGCACGCAGGCGGCCTCGGGCTCCAGACCTCCTCCTCCTCCTCCTCCTCTTCCTCCTCCTCCTGCTCCTGCTCCTGCTCCTGCTCCTGCTCCTGCTCCTGCTCCTGCTCCTGCACCTGCTCCTGCTCCTGCTCCTCCTCCTCCTCCTCCTCCTCCTCCTCCTCCTCCTCCTCCTCCCCCTTCTCCCTTCTCTCCCCCTTCCCTCCTCCCCCATCATTCCCTCCCCATCCCCACCCTCCTCTCCCCTCCTCCTCCTCCTCCTCTTTTCCGTACTCCCTTCCTCCTCCCTCCCGCCCCTCCTCCTCCTCCCTTCTCCTCACTCCTCCTACCTCCTCCTCCTCCTCCTCCTCCTCCTCCTCCTCCTCCTCCCCCCGCTCGCCTCATGTCACGAGCTTGTTGCAGGGTCATCAGCTCGCCGATGTCGTTGCCGTCGTGGTCGTGGTCGTGATCGTCATCGTCGTTCTTCTGGGTCGGCGGCACCGGCCGTAAGGCCTTCACAGTAAGAGTCTGAGGCACGAAGAGCGCGTAGGCGGCCCCGGGCTCCGGATACCGGCTTGGGCTCGAGAGCATCCAGAGATCATGCTGCTCCCAGCGTACTCCAGGACCACCTCCCAGAAAAAATCTCGAGCACCCCCAGACAAGAGGACCGACTCTCCTGGTGCTCGTAGCTCTCTCTCTGGTGGCGGTGACGGTGCCTGCAAGACGTGTCCATGCGAGGGGACTCAGCGGGGCGGGGCCGGAGCGAGGGGACGAAAAGCAGAGTTTCCTCTAGGCTGGTGACCCAGGCTGAAGTATGCTGGCGGCGCGCAGAGAGGGGGTATGGGGGAGGGGGGAAGGCTTCTTGGAAGGAGGCCGCCTCTCAGAAGGCGCGGCCCT